AAATTCTAGACATAGAATTAATATTTTAATGTTGAATGATGAAATTAGAAAAAAATTAATTTTAAAAAATATCAAAGTAAAAAAATAGCAATCAAAATAATGATAATGAAATTTGATAAGGAAAAAAACTTGAGGATGAAAATGTAAAATGAAAATCAATTTAAAAAATTATCTCAAATAAAACAAATAGAAATTAAGGAATGAAGATCAAATTTGAAATATAAAAAAATTAAAAGGGTATGAGGTTGAAAAAGAATTCCAAATTTATAAATTACATCAAATAAAATAAATAGTAATTAAAAAAAATGGATCAAATTTGAAGGAATAATAATTTAAAGGGTTGCTTTAAAATTTTGAAGGGAAAAACATGAAAATCAAGGAGAAAAGAAAAAAAAAAAGAAAATAAAGATTATTAGGGTCTTAAAAACCATATAGTGTCCTAGAGAGGACAAGTATAGATGATGAAAGATTTTTTTTTTTACTTTAAAAACATACCTTATTATAGAATCGCTAGGTATGGACTTGTGTCATGTCACAAGGCCAAACTATTTTTTCATGTAAAAAATATATTTAGGAGTTACAAATATATTTTACAGAAAAATTATGTGATTCGTATTATAGATCTTACTGGCTCAAATAAATTAGTTTTATTTTAATTAGATGTTATAGACAACAACCACTTGTGAACCAAATTAAAAAAAATAATCATGATAACATGAAAAAATAAATAAATTTTCAAAAGGAAACAAACAATGTAGAATAATTTTCAGCTCATTAAATACAAAAGAATAAAATTTGAAAAAACAATGACATAAAAAAATTGACTAGAATTAACTTGAGTTAGCATAACAAACTTATAAATTTAGTAATAGGGTCAAGTCAATCATGGTGATTGTGTCAAACTTGACGTCTAAGTCATGAAAACAAAATAATCTGATAGAGAAAAATAAAAATTAAAAAAATCATTTAAAAAAAATGTTAAACGATAAAAATATAAAAGAAAATAAATATCACTTTAACCTTTTAAACTTGTGACACGAGTTATTAAACCGAAAATACCCATACATGAAAAAAATATAAAGCTTAATTTTTAATTAATTAAATGTTAATGGATGAAATTAAAAAAATAATTGAAATTATACAGAAGGATTAAAAATAAAAAATAAGGATCAAAATTGAAATAGAAAATAAATTTTATTTTTTTATTAAATGGTGAAATTTAAAAGAAAAATTAATTTAACAAAAGGACGGAATAAAAAATAATTTTTTTGAATGAATGACGACACTAAAAAGAAAAATCCATTCAACAAAAAAAAAAGGACTAAATGAAAAAATAACATATCCTAAATCGGATTGAATGATAAAATTAAAAAAAATTAATTCTTTTAAAAAAATTAAAAAAAAAAAATAATAAAAAAATTCCTTGATAATAAATTGTATTATTATCAACAACACATATCACCTTAAAAGGAAAAAAAAAAAACACTACATAGCTTCCAACAACCAATAAAAAAAAGATTTTGATCATTAGAGGCACCAACCATTTTTTATGTTATTTTTATTACTTTCGACCAACTTAGTAATTACAAAACAATCTTAAGGAAAAGATGTCAATATTCTTCACGACTTATATTTTTTTTTATCTTAGAATAAATATCAATATTCTTCACGACTTATAATTATACTATAAAATTAAAAAGAAAAATACTAAAATATCTTTATACAACAATGTTAATTTTTAAGGGGTATTTTAGTTATTTTATTTTACATTGAAAATTGAATACACAAAAACACCCTAAAACAAACTAATAATAATAAATAAATTTTACAAAAATACCAAAATAAATGGTACTTAAATTTTAGTCAATGCAATAAAAATCACTCCATTATTCTAGTGATATGTCCTTGGTTACATAGAATTCATCTTATTTTTTAGGAATTATTTGTTTTTATAGTTAAAAATATATTTCGTGATTTTTTAAAAATTTTTATTTAAAATTATTTTGATAGAATAATATCAAAATAATTTTTAAATATAATATAAAACATTATTTTTATATATTTTTAAATAAAAAATACTTTAAAAACTCCCCACATTCTGGGAAGTACCATAGTATATTTGTTATGTTATATTTTTAAATTACAAACCAGCTTTTGACAGCCAAAAAGAAAAGAAGAGAAAACAATCAGTTTTCCCAGGCAGAGGCAGCCTCCATCAAGAAGAAGAAGAAGAAGAAGAAGAAGAGAACGATGGCTTTGCAGACTGGGGTCTCTACGTCCAAAGTTCTCATTCTCGTCGGTGCAGGTCTCTCTCTCTTGTCCCTTCTTTGCCTTCTCCTATAATAAAAGCTTCAACTTTACTTTGACTCCAATGCTTTTCGGCTGCTTCACGATTATTGACCCGATAAACAATTCAAACACCTCTCAATCAGCAATTTCACCCTCTTTTGTTTTTGATTTAGAAATATAAAATCTCATGTAATTGAATTGATAAGGTTTTATTTTTTCTGTTTCTTGTCTGGATGCAAAAATTTATGAATTTTTTCGTCCATGGAATTGTGAACTCACTTGATTTTAGCTTATCAAAATTTTTTCTTGTTCGTATGTATGCTATTATATTCATGTCTCTGTGTTTTTTGTTTTAGGTTTGACTAGTTCGATTATTTTGAAAAATGGACGGTTGTCTGAACTCATTGGGCAGCTTCAAGAATTACTCAAGGGTGTTGACGAAGTCGAGATCGCTCCTTACAAATACGACACTGCTCTTCTTGCCGCTCAGGTTTTCCAAGTTTTTTTTATCTAGTTATTTATAAGAAATGGGTACTCGTGGAAGAGCATAACACAAAGGAAGAAAAAAAGAGCATCTTTTTTCGATACATGATGCGTAAAACACATTTTAGCAGATTTCAGTGCATCTAAAAAGTTCCAGAGTTGGACTGTAAATAATAGACCCTGATGCAATGTCAGTTTAAATAGATGCAAGTTTGCATGTGCGATTTTGTATTATGAATTAAGAGAACCTACTTCCTTCTTAGTTCAGGGCTGCTAGTTTAGAGAACCTGGCTGAATTCTTCTCACGGAGGACATCCTAGTGGCCCCTAACTTTATTCCAAGAACTGAATCAAAGGGGACTTTCTTCCTAGAATCAGAATATGGGAAGCAGAGTCTTCTTAAAATGTTGGGTAATTGAAATCCATTGGAGGTGTGATAGACTGCTTTCCATGTGTGCTGCCATGCGTGTGAGTTTTGGGAAGGTTTCTGAATCTTCCTTGGTGTACTGGTATCTAAAAGAGGGGATATTAATGTGTGAAACAGGAACTTGTTATATTTCTAAAGGAGTCAGGGTATTTGGCGATTGTTAGCAATCTATCATATTTCTCTTCGGATTGACTGTATTTTTTGATGTATTCTCATGTGTCTCTGTCTCAGATTCGTCAATTGGCACAAGAGATTAAGGAGTTGAGCTTATCCAGTCCTGTAACCATCTATAATGGAAATTCTGTTTCTAATGGTAAGTACACCATATTTTTTTTTTAAGAGCTTAAGATTCCAAGTAATTTCCATACTTTTCTTGAAGAGTAATAGATTCTTAGCAGTCTACTTTTCTCTATGTCCTTCATTTCTATATTCTTATTGTGTTTTGAGTTGAAATTTCTCTCTCTTTGATCTTCTATTGATACTTATTTGCTGATAGACAACCAACCTTCCATTGCGCTTGAAGTTGATTAAAAAGGCATCAAAATTGCTAAATTTTTGTCCATCTCTAACCAATCAATGTGTAAAACTCTTGGTTAACGTTTCAGGACTCTGATAAGCATGCATTACTTTTATTTGAAGGTTTAATCACTTGATTTTACTGTGATGTGCAATGTATTTACTTAATTTGAAGGACATATGTGGATCAACTATATGCAAAAAAACCAAGTGGCTTGTTAATAGGACATTTCATGCTTCCTTGATCAGTTCCCTTCTCTCCCCTGAAGGAAAGGGAAAGGAAGAGAAAAGGATAAATGCTATTCATAAGTCTTATTTGGAATGACTTAAGAAATAATCAGCAAATTTTAAATTTTGTACTGCAATTATTTCAGACTAGAACACTAATCATAAGTTAACTGCAATTGAGATATCCAAGCCGATCACAAGAAAGCTTTCAGATTGTTTCTTGAATGAAGCCTAAACAAGGACTAGATAACTTGTAAGGTAAAATTATAGTAGGATTTAGAATTTCCTCTAAACTATTTCTTTTCCTGATGTCAAAAGGCATCCAGGTTCAATTATTGTGTTAGTTTTTTTTTTTTTTTGTGAGTGCATGGTTATATTAGATATTTTTGGCAACATCTTGCAACATTTCTATTTTGGATGTCTTGATGGAAGAGTAGAATATGCAATGATGCTTATAAATTTTCTTGTGTACACAGGGAATTTTTCTTCTTACCTAGTGCCAGCTGCTGCACTTGGAGCAATGGGATATTGTTACTTTTGGTGGAAGGCAAGATTCTTAATGCTTAAAGTGAAAACAATTTCTTATCCCAAATGCTGATGGTATTGCACCTGTTAGCACATTGTCTTCTTGTTGATAAATGGGTGGATGCATCATCTATTTGCTTTGTGGTGCAGGGCTGGTCATTTTCAGATGTAATGTTTGTAACAAAGCAAAATATGGCAAATGCTGTTGCAACCGTGTCAAAACAATTGGAGAATGTATCTGAAACGTTAGCTGTAAGTAGGATGACTTATTCTTTCTAATAAGTATTCTTTCTAATCAGTCTCATTTCTTAGATAGCAACTCTATGTTTTGGATTCTTTGCAATATTCTTAATTCTCTTCGACTGTCAACTTGTGCAGTCAACAAAAAGACATCTGACAAAAAGACTGGGAAATTTGGACTGGAAGATTGAGGAGCAGATTGAAACATCTAAGCTCATTGCCAATGATGTACGTTCAGTACTCTCCTTTTATAATTGATAGATATTAATCATTTGTTTCTGTCCTTTTTCCCCCCATTTCTTCCTTGCCTAGGGCATAAGGTATGCTTTTTGCGTACAAGCCAAGCTTAGGTAACCAACAGATGCCATATCCAGCTCAGATTGTAGAAATATGCACGACAGTAGGAACATGAGCTTGAACTTGATTGAGCTACCTAGTGAACCTGATCCTGAACAGAAAGGCAACATGATGTAGATCAGAAAAGAGGGAACAGCAGAATAGTTGAGGAAATAGGGTAGAGAAGAGGGACATTTAAGTCAATTCAGAAAGTGAAAAATCACGTGCAGAGCATAGATTTAAGAATGAGGTGAAACCAAAGGTTACAACTTACAACAGCGTGATTTTTTAAAACAAGGGAAAACATGTAATATACAAGCGGCCATTAATAGGTTTCCCTATTTTATTTCTTTTTGGTGTAGCTTAAATAGTTCACCTCACTCTATTCTTTGCCTGTCGGCACATTTGGATTTTAATTTATACTGTGCGTCTGATTCTGTTTCTTATGAATATCCACACCCGATTCTGTTTCTTAGGAATACCCACACCTGCATCTGCACACAAATGGATATGCTCAGGGTAGATATTATTTAAGCTAAATCAACTCATATCAAGATAGATATGTATTTCAGCTATGGTTTTACTTGCATGCAGATAGATGACATGAAATCAAACCTTTCCCAAATTGGATATGATGTTGAATCAATTCATGAAATGATATCGGGGCTGGTGAGTTGCAATGCTTCTTACAGCTTAAAATTTATTTTTGATTGGAGGATGCCTTTGTTGATTCCTGATATCTCTAAAATCTCAACAGGAAGGGAAGCTTGAACTTCTTGAAAGCAAACAGGTGTTTTTTCGACTTCTTAATCAATTAGTTCTTTCTAACAATGTGCAATGGCTCAGAAATTTTTGAATCCGCATCACACAGGATGCAACAAACTCTGGTCTATGGTATCTCTGTCAATTTGCTGGAGGCCTTAAAGATGGACCCGGCACTAAAGCTTATCAGGTCTGGTAACCACCTGCTGCAATTTTACCTCCTTTCCAATTCTAATAATCTTTAGGTTATGGACGTTTTGCCAGGTCCCTCTCCTCTCCCCTCAATGCCAGTAACCCACCCCCCCCCC